AAATATGAATTTTGTCTCTTGGTTACTCATCAAAACTGTCAACATTTACTGTAATGAAAAGTGATTTCAATTCAGTTTTTGGACTACTTTTCAAGGAATTTTTGTTTCGCTTTTGAAACCACTTAGCTTATCACTCTTATCCTTTTTTTYCTCTGTTCATGGTATAAGAGAAAATGAGAAAGTGTAAGACACAAATGCTGTCAAATGATGGTGTGTTCAAGAAATGTCAAATGTACAGCTAAGATCTGAAACAACGTTTGTTTATATCCTTCTCTAAGGTTATTTCAACTTTGGAAATTTTTTATCAATGCTGTAGTACAAATTGCTCGTAGGACGAGAAGTTAAATTGAAATTGCAGCCCCAAATGGGGAAATAATGTGCCAAGAGCTTTGCAGTGTTTCACGGTAAAATAATACTTTTTAAGTTCAGGATACAGATAGTAGRTACTTGAACCTTTATCTATTCCCTGTAACAAATGCAAAGCCACTAACTTGTTATTGTACCAAGCTTGGAGAATTGATTCAGGTTGAGGATAATGCATGGAAATCATGGCATCAGCCATCTTTGTGTACAGAGTCCCCATACGGTGATGCTTATATAGGCCTTACACAGCCCCAGAGTCATTTTACTCTGCCTGCTAGAACAACAGTACAAGGATGGTACTTCAGTGTTGTTTTATTTCATATCAACACATGACAGTCAATTTTTATGTTAAGGAATAGAAGCAGTAATTTGCTGGCCACATGCAGMGTCAAAGTATGCTTGCCTTGTGCTGCAGATACAGTGGATTTGTCTGGGAAAGGAGAAATACTGTTTTATTAACATGAAGCTTGCATGATCAAAAAAGTTTACAAGTTATAAAATGTTGCTTTGTAAGAGACAATGCTTGCTTGCTTTCTGTTGATAGATCATCATTGTTTGGCACCTGAGTTTGAACAGTGACTTCATACTCTGTGCCATTTGTCTTGAAGTTTATAAGCTGTAATCAACAAAGCTGTTTTATACATMTATTTCTATTACTTAGAGAATGGGTTATTAGTGTTTGGCTTTAGGRTTGTCTCAGCTTGATTGCTTGATGTATTGCGATGTGCCTTTGCTACRTAACTAAAAACAATTGGTCTTTCATAGGAAAACTAAATCTTGTGTTTCTGCACAACTCAGATAATGGCAATTCAACTTTTTGTAATTTTCAGCACATCTGAAGGGGTATTTTTTCAGTGCAAGGTTTGAATTCTTGTCACTCATACTGTTTTTTACAATGTTTGACTTTGCCAATATGTTCCCGTGTTGCTGTCAGATGTTTTTTAATCACCTAATAATATAAATCATGTGCAAAAATTTTCATTATCTATAAATGAAATGTGTGTATATATATGGATATGTATTCGTAAAATTGAAAATGTTACACTCTGAAGTTACTACTCAAATTCCTAATTCCTAAAAAGTGATGTTAAAAATAGTAAACCTTGTCACAAACAATAGCGACTTTTTCAGAACACATTAAAGGTCTTTAAAGACAGTTGAATTTTAAAAATAATTTCTTGACATAGTGCTAGATGAAAATGATGGCTCTGCACACATTGAGAAGCCTGCTAATGTGAGAGTTCTTGTACCAACCTTCTGGTGTAGGGTCTCATGTTGCAGATTTCTCTGGTTTTTACTGTAGATGTTCCARTTCTCTGTAGGCTGGAAGGCTGAACTGGTTCCTTGCTTGTACAGATAGACAAAACCTAACTGAATTTTTTCAGATTGTTTCCCTTGTCTGTAGTCTGTCTTCTTTAAGGAGGAGTTCCATGAATTGTGGATGTATAATTCATAGCAGATTGCTTGAGATACTGTTTCTAAGCAAATGTTCTAGAAAGCATTTTCACAAAGCAAATTCGTCACTTTAATTTGTTGCGCATGACTTCTTGTTTTGATTTCAGCAAGGAAATTCTGAGGAAGATTCTTTTAATAGTTTATGGAGTTTAAGGATTCTGTTTTGCTGTTGTTTTGTGGGGKTTTTTTTCTGGTTTTGTTTTGTTGTTGCTTGAGATTTGATAATCCAGTTTGAGTGGTCAGACAAACTGACCTCAGACCTCACAGAAAAATTATGTGATGCAAGAGTAATACTCAGGGTATGACTCCTTTCTCCCCACATTTCAACTATGCTTTAATATAGAGRAAAAACTAGTAATGCTGTACAACATAATTAATTGGAAAGTGCCAAAGTTGATTTAACAAAGATACAGTATTCCTGATCTCTTGCACATCACTCCTGAAAAGTTTCTTCATAACTGTGATAGAGAAAAGTACTTGGCTTATGGGTGCAACCTGCAAACTGTTTTTACCTGTAATAAAGATTATTATTAGGGCRTTTGTATTTTGAAAATAGTGCAAATTGTCAGTATATTGTAATTATCAGATATTGGATCCAGGTTATCACAGTCTGCACAGCCAATACAAAAGACGGTGGTTGAGAAAGGAGCTTAAGATTCCAAACTTATAGGCATCCTTAAATTACATACGCTTTTTGTTTTAGAGTGGTGATGCTTGGCATCAGCGGATAGTACACAGCAAACAATTTGTTGTGAGAACATTCTTCACGAGAAGCAATAATTAGAATAATGATGGTGCCTTAGTTGTAGTAAATGTCCATTAAATAGTTTGAGTATGTTAAACTGCAGATTATGCAAGATGTCATCAGTCTACAGTAATGGATGATGCTTTTAAATTTTCTGCCTCTGTTACTGCTTTATTCCACTGTGAAAAGCCTTGCAGCATTAAAAGCTCTCATACTTGTCCACCCACAGCTGTAGAAAAACTGAATGACAGTATAAACAAAACAGCACTGTAATGTATAATTAACGAAAGGAAAGACTCCACTGATTTTTATTGACAGTTGCATAAACATATTAGTAGATTTTATATAGATTATATTACTATACTGCAGTATTGGTACGATTATTATTAATACCAGTGGCATTAGGGAATCAAGCAAATGGAYACCATAAGTTGTCTAAAATAGTTTTATAAAAGATGGGCATAAATGCAAACTGCTTATAAATGCAGTTTATAGAACATATGATGCTGATCCTGCAACATGTGTAGATAATGTTAGGAAATGTACTATTTTTTTTCCGGGTTTTGAGGAAGTTCAGTGGTTTTGGCTTTGCTGTTTGGCATGTTTCATGAATTCATCTKTAGTTCAAAAAGCATAGTGTTTTTTGTCTTCTCCTTTTTGGAGAGGTTCCTRTAACATGAAAAGCAAAGAAGATTATGCCTTTAAGAAAGAGAACAAAGTTATATGCCATAAAATATGAGTTAYTGAAATTTAGTTCTTAGGCAATAAGTTTACAGTGTCTRTTTCATATGCTGCAAATTCCTTTTAAAGAGATCTGCTGATAGTGATTGAGATAGATGTGTGGGGTTTTTTTTCTAGAAGATCAGAACCTGAAAAGTCATGTCACTTGTGGTTAGACTTTGTCAAAAAGCGAACAAGTGGAACTTCTCATGTCTGTGTTCTGAGAAGGTAGTGCAGATATTTTTTGGACAGACACACATTTCATTTGAGCTTTGTATTGAGACATACTACTTCACCAATGTGTAACATAAACTCTGCTAAAGCTGCTATGCCATGAATATCTTGTTCCTGCTTTAATGTTGGCTGGGCTKTAGCATCAGTGCCCCAGAGAAAATGGTTGTAATGTTAATGTTAGCAAGAGATCTGTGTAAGACTGGTGAACAGTATCATTAAGGGATGGAAATACAGATGGGGAACTTGCTTAAAATACTGAAGTCTTAAAAAAGTGAACAGTGAGTTTACTCCTCCTAGGTAAGTTTGGGGCTAGGTTGTTGTTTCCAATAATTTGATTTGGAGTTTTTTTGGGTTTAAGATTTGAGTGCTCTTGTGGTACTTTTCCCAATTGCTATGTACCACAAACATGAAGAATTAAAGAGAAGCAATTGTTTCTGAAATAAATAATTTTCTTTGGCAATGCAGCTTACATTATTATTAATCTTAAAATGCTGATTACTGGCCCACATTGAACTACTCTTGACAGTTCCTGGTTTTTTGTGTCTTTTGTTTTTACTCAAATATAGCTTTACAATGAAGAACTGTTTCATGAGTGAGGTAGTTTCTGCCCATTTTAAAGTAATGAATTTCTCAGGAAACTTGCTKCTGTTACTTAACTTGAAAGTATGTAAGTTAATTTTCAAATGTGGCCCATATATTTAGAAAATAAATTGTCCAAGCCTGAATTTTTCATCTAGTGAATGAATTTAATTTACTACAAATAATAACACCTAAGAAGGTCCTCTGATCATAAGAGGGATTGTAGCAGGTTTGCATTAAGTATTTTGTTTTTTTTTTTATATTTCCTGAATTACTTTCTGATTTTAAGGTGTCTCTTTTTGTGCTGGTATGTGGACTACCATTGGAATTCTTTGAAGTAATGAAATAACAAACTCTATGCAAAAGTCCCAATGAGCTATAGTAATGTCTGCTGTCACCTGTCAGATTTCTTTATATTTTTCTTCACGAAAAGGTTGTTTTTATATTAAATGCCAATGAAAGCAAGTTTTTTTGCTGAATGTGGCATGATTTAACATTTTAAAACACGTTTTTCTTTCTTTTTCAGCTTTACATCTTCCAGTCCAGCCTTACAACATGGGTAAAAGTGCACTTCAAATTTGAAGCAATCTGCAGTCAGAAACTTTGATGTTTCACTAGTCCAAGATATCTGAACCTCTTCAGTCAAAAATAACAACTGTGCAAGAGGACATCCTTGATCCTTCAAACCAGGCTTCAGTTTTTCTTGACTCCCCTTTTTAGTCTGAACATTGCGCATTACCCAATTATAATTGTCACAGATCATAGTTTTGTGTGCGGACGAGTGAAACAGACAAAGATGTAAAAGTGGCCTTGTGGCAAAAAAGATTCTTTATATTATTGGTATCCAAATCAGTATATTCTCTCCCAGCCTCAAAAGTTGCAGTCCTGCGGTTGACTAGTGGGGGGGGGGGGGGGGAACAACTAGTAGAAACACTGAATTTTTTTAGGCAGGCAGCACCAGTATTTTTATTATCATTTTGTATTACTAGGTTTAAACAAAACAGTTGTAAACAATACATTCTGTTTTATAGTACAGGCATCATGTTCATTTCATGATTCTCTTTGTAGTCTTGGTTTCTGAATCCTGAATTCTGAAGTTTTGTTGGTGTGTTAAAATACAGTGTAACTGAAACCTTATTGTGAAGACTGGAATGAAGGCAAATGAATCTTCCATCTTCTGYAGTTTGCTTGAATGACATTTTTCTCTCGGTGTATAGTCTTAGTGAAGAATTACCTTTTCTGAGCTGAATTCATTGTAGGGTTTTTTAACTTCTAAAATTTTTATTATTTATTTGATAGACCTGAAAATAAAGATCTAAGACTGGATATCTATCCTGGTGCCTTACTTATACACCATCTCTCTTACCCCCTTGATATGTGTGAGCTAAGCTGAAAAATTCCATGTGCTGTCAATTTAAAGTAGAAGATGTACAGCATCTTGTGTATTTTAGTTTCATATCTTYGGCAAATACCCGTTTTCTAAATATGAATCAGAAGTTTGTTTTGGTTATCGAATGCTGTCCGTCTTCCTTATTTAACAAGTTAGTCTCCAATGCCTGAGTTTACAAACTGAGGAAAAATAAAAATTCAGTTAATAGCTGTTGTGGCTTCATGATGGTATATTATTGATCTCCTTTTATTTTTGAACAACAGGCATTAATTCCTTAGGACACCAGAATACCCTTCAAGCATGATGCTTTAGCCGTATGCTTTGATCTTACTTCAGCTTTGGCAGAAAATCATACACGTGGAATTCTTGTAACCAGTTTCCATGTTCCCAGAGYTTTACTAGTGTTTTATTGCAGTGGTACAAGATGTGGCCTACATAAAGCACCCAGTGTGGACTCTGCAGTTGTGAAATAGGCACTCACCTTATATKTCCTGCTCTTGCATGTTTGGCTCTAGGCTCTCAGAAAGGAGCAATCAGCTTTGTGTAGAAGTCCTGTTGCTTCTTTCTTGTTTTTCTGTTGTGTTTATATGTTCTATGTTATTACTCTGTGGAGATCATCAGGAGAAATTTCCCCCTGACATTGCCTTTTTTGTTTTTGCACTTTGCTGGAACGTGGATATGAAAATACTGACATACTGGCAAAATGWGAACCAACCTATGCTTCCTATTTAAAATTATGAAGTAGATGAACATATATTGTTTGCTAATCACAAGTAATACTATTAATATACTTGCAGCTCAGAAAAAGAAAATTCAAAATGAGAAAATATTTTTCTTCTTAAACTAGTTTAAAAACAAGTTTTTTCAAATCTAGTAAACATCATCATAGACATTTTTTCAATCYGATGAAACTACAGCTTCTCAGACTCATTTTGCATCAAAATAATATTTTCTTCAGCAGAATGTAATCCTGACATACTTTGACTAGGGAAGGACAATACATAAAGACAGTTTTTTCCTCCTGTTCTTTTGTTTCAAACATCTGCTGCTAGTAAGAATTCTCATCTCCTTGAGATACCAATAGTTCTTGAATACATTACCTGCATCAAGCCACCTGGAACATTCATTTACAGTTCTGGAGAATGAGAGTTGCTCTAAGCACATCCTGTAATAYTTATATGGTTCTGCAAAGTAGGTAAGTCAGCTTATAGCAGATCCTAGCATGCATAGGGGCATACATAAGTTAGGAATAATTTTGTTTAGAATCATTTTATGGAAGAGATCTGTAAGAGCTACTACATCAAAGAAACAGGGTTTGTAGGGCAGTGTATTTAGCTTGTTAAATATATTGCTGAAGCATCCAGGTTTTTGTGAATTACTTTTTAAGTCAGGTCTGTCTTCTATAAAAATCAGAACCTAGGAATTCARTAAATAATTTTGCAATATTAACAACTTCCATTTTCCTTAATACACTTGCAGTCTTTATGCATTTTCTTTGTCCAGACTATATGCAACAGTACATATTTTGAATATAGTTTATGTAAATATAAAACAAAATGAAAAGAAGAAAGAAATAAAAAGTAAAGAAACACACAAAAACCCCTAACGCCCCCGATCTCCCTAAAAATAATTAAAGGGGAAAGAGAATGCAAGTGAATGTTGCAAGATACCTTCCTACATCATTGAAAGTCATTCTTTGGTGCCAGGTTCATTATTTGTAAAGAATCATTCCTACTATGTAAGTCTTCTGAAGTAGTTTTTTTTTAGCCTGTGGAACTTTGAATTTCCACATGRTTCCAGTTGGAAATTGTATCTATCATGAGACCTGATGACGTTTTAAAAATGCTTCTACAAAATAGTCAGAAGTTACACTTTTATTTTAGACCAGGTGATCTTTACAATGCTTTGAAATTATCTGTACCTAAAGTTGATAACTGCTTTTAAAATAATGAAGCAGTTAAGTGACTTGTGAATTAAAGGGTATCCTTTAAAGTATAGTCATTTTGGTGTTTGAGACATTCTTTAAATAGCTATTAGCCCTGAATAAAATAGCTGAGTAGCACAAAAATGTCTACCTTTTTTAAAAGAAAAGAGTTACTGCGAACTGGGCAGGTGGTTTTGAAAGCCAAACTCCTGGCCCCATATTCACCAGTAAAGAAAATGAAAAGCAACTTTCTAGAAATAATTTCTGGTAATAGAAATATTTCTAGTAATAGTGGTCTAAGGGAGGAGATGTGAAACACCAACGAATTTAGGATAGGTTGATATGTCTTTGCCCATCATGTTTGCCAAAACACTTTAAGACCTTATATTGCTGTGAAGGAGTGTAGCTGCCTCTATGTGATGTAATGATGACAACCATATTTGTAGGAAAGCAMGAATAATATCTTGCAATAAAATTTTTAAGTCTTTTCAAACAAATTTGCTGTTTCTGAGAGTTGGTGGGTGTTTTTATTTTTTTACATTCATGAGAACATTAATAATAATCTGAAAAAGAGCTTGGTAGGATTTGGGAGCAAATTACACAAACAAAATGAGGTTTTGATAGTCTCTTGGACTACTAAAAAAAGCAAAAAGACAAAAAAAAATACCTCTCAGGAAGATCATGCCATGTTGTAAGGCTGGGGATGGATGTAAAGCACCAAAGAAAATCAATTACTAGGTAAGAACAAGTTGTTGACATGCACAAATCAAAATAATTATGGTGTATTCTGTTGAAGGTGCTGTGTCTTACATATTCTTCTTTCACAGTTTTCACTGACTTACATCTTATTTTGTTTTCAGGTTTATGGTAGGTTGTGGTAGATGTGATGATTGGTTTCACGGTGATTGTGTTGGACTGAGCCTTTCTCAAGCACAGCAGATGGGTGAAGAAGATAAAGAGTATGTGTGTGTGAAATGCTGTGCTGAGGAAGACAAAAAAATGGAGTGTTTTGATCAAAATGTATCAGATACTCAAGTAAAACCTGAGAATAAAGAAGAAAAAGCAATTGAGTGTGAAAAACTGGGGATGTCRAAGCAAACACCTACTTGTAATCTAAATATGACTGAAAAAATGAAGCAAACAGAGGATGCTGGGAAGCACAAAGTCAAAATCTTTAGACGGGTGAGTCTCTCTTAATGTTTTAACTTCCCTTAATTACTGGGGTTAGAAGGTTTCTGCCTGTCCCATTGCCAATTAATAGACCATGTTTCAGACATCTTTGTGAACCTAATTTAAAACTTTAATTGTTTGCAAAGTTACTTCATTTTCTAATTMAACTCTTTCAATATGGTATTGCTAAACTCTTCTTACATTGATTAGGGGTATGTGCATGTCATGCRTATAGAATATCCCAAATTGGAAGGRACACATAAGGATCCTGCTCCTTGAAGTCCTGCTCCTGACTATGCATATAGACCTATACTTACAGATGTAYAGAGAAATGGCAAAGGACCTAGTGCATTTTTTTTTCAATTTCTAAACGTATTGYAGGTTATCTGTCAATTTGCTGTATAAGCCTCAGATAATTAAAGATTCTGTAAAACAATATGACAACAGTATTTTGGTTTGGATTGTTTTTATTTCAGATTGTATGTAGAAAAGYGCAGTGCTTTGATCAGGACTTTTCTACTTTTTGTGTCTGATTTTACTAACCAAAAGATAATTTACAAGGAGTGTTGAGGCAGTTCTTCAGTCAATTAGTATATAATGACATATTCATAATAACAATCATCAGTAATCCTGTCTTATTTCTGAGTAGTAGTATTGAAATTCTGGCATGTAAGCTGTTCTTTTTAATTTTGGTTTGCATATGCTTTCTAAACATCAGTGACCCCTGTGGCTAAAACTGGTTAAGTGATGTTCATTGATATCCCTGAATTTTTAAAATAACTGCAAACTTAGTGGTTTTCCATCCAGAGCTTAAATGCAAATTTTCTGTGCTGTGTCTTGAACCAATATTTAAAAGAGATCGTTAAGCAGTGTTTGGCAGTAATCTGGGATATTGTTCAGTGGCTCTTTAGAAAATTACATTGTGGTACATACATCCAGGGTATACATTGTTCAGTGTAAAAGGGAAAAATATGGGAAAAATATGTGGTAATTGCATGGTGGTTGATTGTCACATTCAGTAGCATGCTAACATTTGTAAATGTTTCTTTCAGGAATCTGGAGATGGGAAGAACTTTCCAGAGTCCAGAGACTCAGATGCTAAAAAAGGGCAGCATGTTCCTGCTCGGAAAGGATCACAGACTGCTGTAATTCCTCGTCGGTCCCCTGAAGATAAAAATGAAAAAACAAGTAAAGAATCCCTTAGTACAGTGGAAAGGGCCACAAAATCAGGTACCAAGGTTTGGGGATGTGTTCTGCTCTGCAATTCACTTCTACGTACAGTGAAGGATGATAACTTTATGGCATCASTTTTTCAAATCACATGCCATAGTGGAAGCAATGATGATCTGAAAAGCTGTTTGTTTCCATAATATTTATGATTTTTATTTCTCATTTCTTTTTAAGTCTTATTTAGTAGGTAAACGTATCCTAGTAGCTGTGTGTTTCCTGTTTCAGTAGTAGAGGATGCTTACATAATCAAAATTGGGAGGAAACKTAAACAGGCATCTCTGTATTAAACTTTATTTTACGTTGCATGAGACTTTGAAGTACTCTTCCATGTAGTACTGTGAAATGTTTACATAAAATTTGTTTAATTTCTGTATGAATTATATTTGATTTACTGATGTCTTTTGTACAAATTGACAAATAATTTTATCAACTCATTTCAAAGARGAACGTTATATTGTTTGCTGAAGCATCATATTTTATTTATTTCCCATTGCTTCCCTAAATAGGAGGGTACTGCTAGAAACTGTGACATGCTCGCATGCTGACACAAATGAGCTTTCAGTTTACCTTCTGAAAATTAGTAATTTTGCTTTAATGATTTTGGTTTGATTGGACTTATCCATTATTTGTATTATTTATGACACAAACCTTATAATGACCTTGAATGTCACCTGAATTAGAAGGTGAAATTATTATAATTGAAATAATTTTGATGGCTAACAGAGGCAGTAACACCAATTTTAATGTAAGACGATATTTTAAAGTAGAGTTTATTATGCTTATATATGCTTCATAGTATATTGTTTCTTAGTTTATTCCCTGAAAAATTAATCTATGATGTTACAAATTCAGAGTCAAAAATCAGACAAGATCAAGCTAGTGAGCACTGGTCAGCTTGGTTTAGTGTAGAAGAAAATRCTGTAAATCAAAGGGCAAACCCTCTGTTTCTCCTAAGAAAGTTTTTTTCTGGATTAATCTAAGTAATGTAAAATCCACACCAAAGAAAAAGAAACCCAACCAACCCTGGGGGTCTACTCCTTCTTCTTGAAGGTCAATTCTTAGCAGTTTRAAAATAAAACTTCATGAGAATTACTCCATCCACAGCAAAAATTTATAAAAGTYACTTGAGTATTTTGCAGTCTTTAACTGTGTGTTTTGATAGGTATGCATGAGAAACAAGATATAAAGAAAAAGAAAAACGAGAAAGGATCTGTTACCGCAACACACCTGCCAGCCGTGCCAGCTTCCAAACCTTCTGCTGATCAGATAAGACAAAGTGTTAAGCAGTCTCTTAAGGAAATTCTAATGAAAAGGTAAAAATCTATTAAGAAATTAAATTAATTTCTGTAATACTTGCAGAGGAAAAACAGTTAATTATTTAGGTGCATTTTATAATTTTTGCTATTGTATTCTCCCATAGATTGACAGACTCCAGTTTAAAGATTCCTGAGGAGAGAGCAGCAAAAGTTGCCACAAGGATTGAAAGAGAGCTGTTTTCTTTTTTCCGAGACACTGACGCAAAGTATAAGAACAAATACAGAAGTTTAATGTTCAATCTGAAAGACCCTAAAAATAATGTATGTGTGATTTGTCTGTTGTCCTTTGCAGAAATCCTTGATTTGCTGTAGATTAAAGGAACAGTCTTCAATTTAGAAACATTCTTAATCTTCCTGCAATGTAACCAGTTTTTTTTTTGTTTTTTTTTGTTTTTTTAAGGTTTCCTCATTATTTTGATGCTGTTTATTCTTTGGGCACTCAGTGTCCTCTATGTTCTTCCTCATCATTAATTCTCCACTCCTTGCTCCCCATGTACCTTTTTCKGTTTGGTTTCAAAGCATAGCAGATATAGCTTGCCTAATTTGTGTTTATCTTTACTGATAAAGTGATCTATTATTTAGATGTTCCTATGTCCCCCATAATTCTTTGCTGTTTACTGTACTTATTCTTTCTCTGTCCAGGATCTTCTGTGCTTTTTTGCATACAGATTTCTCAAACTTGGTCTTCAGTCCCTATTCTGCTTTCTGTGAGCCCATTATTCAACATCATACCTCCTCAGCTTCTGTCTTTTGTCCTTTATCAGTTACCCCGATCAAGTTACTTTGTTTATCGTATTTTGCCATTACAATTAGCCATGTSTAAATTATGTGAATTTCTGTCTTAACTTATATCTAACAGCTGACTTCCATTTTCTCTTTGTTCTTGCTGCTAAATTAGTTGGTTGTCCTTTTTTTGCCCTTGGACTTTATTTAGTCAAGAAGCACAAATACCCTCTTTGATACTTTCTTCTCTTTATTGTGTAATGCAGAGGATTTGCACCTTTAAAAAATACAGAACAAAACATCCAAGTTATTGCTTCAGTGGGCATAAACTGACTTTCTCCTTTGAAACAGCAGTTAATTATACATTTGATCATTAAGGGTATATGTAGATACATTGTTGAGTAGAATGAAWGGAGCTCTGGAATTAAGCTTTTTATGTTACAAAATCTAGTACCATTTTCTGCAGTGCAGATAATTACAAACCTACACGCTCCATTTAGCTGTACAGAGCATGTTGTATGTTACTTCTTTGATTTATTTYGTGCTGCAAGCTGGTTTTATCTTGATAGCAATAGTTACTTCTTCTTTCTTCTAGATATTATTTAAGAAAGTACTGAAAGGAGAGGTTACTCCAGACCATCTAATAAAAATGAGCCCAGAAGAACTGGCTTCCAAAGAACTGGCTGCTTGGAGACAGAGAGAAAATAGACATGTGAGATATGTCAACTTACATTGTTTATTTAACAGCCTAAGCATGTGTAACTTTTGTTTGCAGGTTAAGTGTATGCAGAAAGAACAGAACKGATATTACACAAAGCGTCTCTGACTAAGCAGGAGGATCTTTTTAATTAACTTRGTACTCAAAACCCAAAGATGTTATTAGGACAGAAATGAAGAAGTGTAGTCAGTTTCTGAAAGGAGAAAATCATGCATTTTACTTTGCCCTGCAACTTTGTTGCCGCTTRCCCTTTCTTTTTTCTGTCTCAAGAGTGGAGGCTTCTTTGTCCTTATTTTCCACAAGATTTYAAAGCTGTTGCTGGAGCTCTATAGACACCGGTTTATTGAAGAGAGAAAGAGGTCTGTTCAGAAAAACCAAACCAAAGCAAACTGGACTTGTTTCTAACTTACTGCTGAAGCGTTACAAATCAGCCCCAAGAAATAAACCGGAGCTGAAAACCTGATCTGCCAATCTGAAAAGCAGCCCAAAGGGACAACAAATGAAAAAGACAAACAGTAAAAAATCCCCAAGAAAGTGTAGGAATTTTACTAGGTTAGTTTAAGCATGACTTCTCAAAATAGAAAGTCATGCTATCAGGCTGTACTGACAGTTTTGAAGAAGAAACAGGAGTAAGAGGATCTGTATTATTTTCATAGGAAATTTCTTTTTATTAGACATTGCCCCATTTATTGGGCATTTAGTCTGGCAATAACTGCATTTCCTAATTCTTGGAAATGGCCATTAAGAAATTTCTAGTTTACAAAAGCTGGATTTATGTTGACAGAATTTTTGATATTTATATTCCACATCATAGAACCTATAAGCATGATATTTGGGTAGTGTAAATTCATCTGTGTACTCAGAATGAATGTATGGCAATAACTGATTCAGTAGAGTGGGATGCTGTTTTAGAGATTGCAATATGCATTGCAATAGTAATTATTCCTGTGTTTTTTCCTTGTCATTGCACATTGTGGCTAGACCTGTTTATGAGTCATGATAACTTTTTACTGCTTTCTGTGCAAAGAAACGGTTGTTGATTACTGTGAAGCTGATTCAAAGGTCTATAAAGAATGAAAAGTTTGTTTATTCTGTATCTATTCAAAGCCCATCTTTTTTAGTGGATATTCTTTACATTTATTTTTATAAGCATCAATGAAATACTGAAAACAGACTATACAAAATAATATTGCATTGCTATGAGAAATATCTTCCGAACAAAGGTGTATGCTGCTCAGAAAATTGCTGAAGAGTTCTGATTATTTCAGAGAAATGCTACAAAATTTCTAGAACTTAAAATGAATACAGCATGTGAAGTAAATGGCAATGTATCATTTTACTGTATTTTTCATGTTACTATTTAAATAAGGCATTGAGACTGCTACTTACTAATTTAATGTTGGTATTTTTCAGGCAGATAAAGCAATCATTGAATCCTTGATTGCTTAATAAATCAGACTTAAGATATTTAGGATAGCCAACACAACTCTTCCTGGTTTCAGAAATAGAAATGCATTTTAAGAAGCAATATTAGAAATTATGCTTTATATTTTATTTTATTGCAAGAAAGCAAAGCAGCAGTGCTGATCAGCATTAGCATCTCCATTACTTTTAAGACTATGTTTTAATTTTTTTTTAGGTGAAGCATTAGGTTTATGTACTAAAAAACAAGCTCTTCAAAAATGGTACAAATCTGCATATATTTATATCCTACATTGTCCCTATTGTTACGGGAAAAAAAGGGGTACATTTTTTTCTTCAGGTCTTGGGAAATCAAATTCACCAGTATTTTAATTTGGTGTCGAAGGTTTTCTTTATCACTTACTTAAATACACTCCTGGTAAGTACTTGCTGCTGCATTGTACTGAAGTTATACAGGCTGCTTGCATGTTTGCTTTATGAAACTACTTGATACTTGCAAAATAAGAATGTATTACTTTCCTCCCTAGAGGGCTTCCCAATTGCAATCCTGTTATCTATTTCTTGATTTCCAAGTTTTATTGTATGGGAATAATTACACATAACTTCTTGTTTTTCACAGACAATTGAAATGATTGAGAAAGAGCAGAGGGAGGTTGAAAGAAGACCTATCACAAAAATTACTCACAAAGGGGAAATAGAAATTGAAAGTGAGACACCAATGAAAGAACAAGAGGAAGTAATGGAAATTCAGGTAGAAAAGAAAGCATGACACCACAGTGTATTTAGTTCATGGGCAATATGGTTATGAAGTGTTTTGTTTATGATTTTGTTGTTCAGGTCTATAATTATCTGTTAGGTCTGGTTTGAACTTAATTTTTCTTCTTTCTTTACTGACTTCTTGGCCTGCTGATTCTGTTGGTTTCTTTCYTTCTGTGTTTTGTCTATGACCATATGATGAATTCTGCCAGTAGTAGAAAATAGAAAGTAGAAATTAGAAAATGTTCTAAATATTACCTAAAGGTATTTGAGAATACCAATTAGTTATTGTAATGCCTTTGTAGATTTTGTGATAGAATTTTAGGCTGTGCAGCTGAAGGAGCAGCTTTATGTCTGAAGGGAGAAAAGCACCATAAAACTTTTAAGCACCGTAAAACATTTAAGCAGTATTAGGAATATTAACAGAGGRATAAAAAAAGACTGACTAAAATGTGTTTGACCTTTCTTAGGAACCTAATATGAAGTTGTTTGAGAAGTCAGAAGAAGCTGACAAGGATAAAGAAATAAATGAATCTGCATCTCCAGACACTACAAGTCAACATAAAAATCATCTCTTCGATCTAAACTGCAAAATCTGCATAGGTAATTTGGGAAAGCACATGAAAATAAATGGATCATGCTTCTATAATTTTTGGTCATAAATCTCAATATAYCTCAAGAATTTAAATAAATGTGGCTTTTTACTGAGTTTGCTTACAAAGTTATGGAAGGAGTGTTTTACTTCGTAATTTACAAAAGCGGATATTAAAATGATAGTCTGTTGGCATTAACTTGTCTTTAAAAAAAACAAACCAACAACTTCAGAGAGCGAAATCCCAATAGTGGATGTACATACTACTGTTGATTCCTCATTTCTTTATCCTATGCCATTTCAGTGGCAATATTTATCTATAGTACTGTATAATCATATACAATCTATTAATTTATACATTGTATAAATACATGTAAAGTAAGCGGGCTTCTTATCCTTTCCCACTTCAATGGCAATATGTAGTATTCTTGGTGTGTCTTCCTTGTGTTCAGAGCAAGTCCTCTGTTTTTTTAATAAAAAATGAAAGCCATTTCACTTCCTTTTCTGCAGGCCGAATGGCACCACCTACTGATGATCTCTCTGCGAAGAAGGTGAAAGTGTCCGTTGGGGTTGCACGGAAGCAGTCAGACAATGAAGCAGAGAGCATTGCAGATGCTCTCTCCTCAACGTCAAGTATTTTAGCTTCAGAATTACTGGAAGATGATAAGCAAGACTCATCAAAATCATTCACACCTCTCCCAAAGTAATATAAACTGTAGAAACAGTATTTTTAAACGAAAGACATTAATCTTGTTAAGCTATTATGTCTAAAGCTAATTTTTTAATGGCATTTCATTAATCCATTTGTGTACTTGAAATTGTACACRTCTTAAGAATGGAGTTATCTGCAGATGATGTGCATTTATATACATAATACTACATATATTGTKGTGATTGAAAACTTCTAATTACCATTTTCATTTTGGGAAAAGTAAACTGTTCTTTATGCAGCAAGGTTTAGAAAGGGTTCACGTCTTTTGCTGTTAAGGAATGTAGTATGTGTAGTGCTGCATTTAAATGAATGTGTCTTTGTGAATTCAAGATTGCTCTAAAGAGAGCATTTACACTGATAAATCAGGCTAGTTTCAAATCTCAAARTAGTGCTTTTCTATAAGTGATAGGTAACAGCAGCTTGTTTGATGTTTTGCAGTATTTGCTGTCAGCTCTCTCAATTTTCTTCTGTGCTGGTACTCACTAAAAAGGAAATTGCATTTTATGAGGCTGTTTCTTTCTGGTTTGAGGGAGGCTTTTCTAGAAAACCATCAACTCCCAGTTATTTAGAATTGACCAGAGTTCATGCTGAAATGTTTTTCTTTATCAGGACAGTGATCTTTCACCAAGGATAGCAGACTTTGAATAGGTTTTTGAATAGTTTACAGCAGATTCAAAGTAATTCCTAGTGTAAATGGAAATAAATGTAGGTTACTGTGATACTGTAAGAGCACAACATCTGGTACTTCTGGGCTRCTTAAAACTGCTAATAGCATGCCTAGCAACATGTTGGGAAATGTTGAAATGTGTAATCTTTTTCATAAGGAAGCCCTCAGGTTGAGAAACAGTCTRCTGTGAAATTATTTAAGTCATCCCAGTAATTTTTTCAGCTGCTTTGTTGACAAAATAGACTTTTTTTGAAGGGAGGAGGAACAGTTTTGTGCAGGTGGAATTGGGGGGAGACACTCACAGAAAGTGTGGGAATGATGCATAGGTAAGAAGAGATGAGGAGCCAGCTTATGGGACAATGAGACAATAAGGTGACACGGGCATTCAGGTGGTGAACAGACAGTGCTGGCACAAAATGTAGGAGTTRGGAAAGCAGGATAGGCCAGCAGGCAGTGTGTTGTGATCTTCTCCCTGTGACAGGGGAAGATCTTGCTGGCTCTGCAGCACCTGTTTGTGTCCTCTTCAGTTGCATCTGATAATTCTTGGACTGAACAACTTCTTTGTTTTTTAAAAAATAGAGTAGTGAACTAATGTGCTGCTTATCTGACTCCTTCCTGTATGTAGAGCTACTCCATTGGAAAATAAGAAACATGGTTGTCTGCCTGTCTCTTTTTGTTCACCCTCAAATATGCTTAATTAAAAAAGAAATTCTTGATAATACTGCATTTCTGTGGTAAAGAAAAAATATAATTTACACTGTCTTGCATGATATATCATCTTGTAAACTAAGTGGGTTTTTGTTTGTCCTTTTTTAGGTCAGAAACACCTGGTACTGTGGAATGTGAAAGTCTGTTTCTGGCACGCCTGAATTTCATCTGGAAGGGCTTTATCAATATGCCTTCAGTAGCCAAGTTTGTTATTAAGGCTTATCCAGTTTCTGGCTCCTTTGAGTATTTAACAGAGGTATTTATATGTACTGCAAAGAATGAACAATTCATTTATTAATTTTACCAACTAGTTTACCTTGTAGTTCAGTAATAGTATTATGATGAAAGACAGTGATGCATGATCATTGTACTGAATAAAGTATTTGTGGGAGGACAGAGGTTAAGGTCTATATTTGTAAGTAAAGTATTATTAATTTGTAAGTAAAGTATTATTCATGAACCTGTGGTTCATGTTACCTTTTATAGCAGAAACCTGCATAATGGAATTTATTTGTTTCCCTGTCTCGTGGCGATTCTGGTCCTAACATTCCACTGTGACTAAATTGTCCCTAAAAAAAAGTTTATGTAATATTCTRTTCTGTGGCTGAGAGACAGGAAAAACATGCATCTGCTTGTAATAGTTGTCTTCATGTCACAAAATAAAGATTAGAGAGCTCATATGGCTCAATTTTCCTTCTTGCCAGCTGCATGGGATGCATCAGCTTTCCAATTAAAAGGASTTAGGTATTCTGTTAATAAGATTGTCTTCACTTCTCTGTTTATCTTCAGGGAAGTGCAGGCCATGCAGTAATCCTTAATACTAAAGGATTGTTGTATGAGTATGATGTGTTTTCCAAAACTCTTCTTTATTTAAAAAAATTATTTTTCTGAAAGTCTGTTCTTTTGCTTGTGAACAGTGAACACAATAATATCCAAGAATAATTTACATCTGTACATACATKCACATGTATGTTTTCCCCTCATGATGAAGATCTTGAAAGTTTATTATATACATAGGTGTGGAGCTCTCATTGTGGTATGCTCCTAGTATAAGTTGAGTGTTTCCAGAGCACAGTACAGTTATGTCTGCAGTTGATGTTACCAGATAGAATAGTTTTGGGGAGATACAGACAAACAGTTTTGAATGATAAGTAATTTAGTCAATATCATTAGTAATTAAGTCAATATCATTGACTTTGCACTGAAAAATGTCCAAAGTTTAATTTTTTTCCTGTGTTGTAACTTCTACTAATATTTTTAAATTACAGTTTAAGAAATAAAAGAACTAGGTKTGCTTTGAATTTATGAAACAGGTACTGTATGAAGGACTTAACACAATATTTATGTTGGATTCACATTTCTGTTGTCCCTCTCATAGGATTTACCTGATAGTATTCAAGTAGGTGGCAGGATATCCCCTCACACTGTCTGGGATTATGTAGAAAAGATCAAAGCTTCAGGGACCAAGGTAAGAATTTTACATTGTAAAGACTTTCTGTTTAATATGCATYTTAGTCATCTTAAAGATACTTGTTTTTTTTCTCCCTGAAACATTCACAAAATACATGAACTTCAGGAATATCTCATGGTTATGTTGAATGAGCTGCGTGACAACTGCTGGCATTTATTTTTTTCCTACTTAACCTTAAACTGACATTTGCTGTTTGAGAATACTTGTGTTCCTTTGTAGGAATTAACTCATCATGAATGCATGGATCCCACGTCACATCTCCAGTGTTACCCTTTCATTTTCAGTAGTGTTACATTGCRCAAAACTATGTCAGTGGCTCTCTGCTGGACTTGTCCCACCGTGTGCTGGTTGTCCGTGTGCTGGGGAGCCTAAAACCAGAGTCTTTTCCAGATGCTGTCTCACAAGTGCTGGATAGAAAGGAGAAGCCATTTCCCTTGGTCTGTTGGCTGCTTTGATTCCGACACCCAGATTGCACTTGGCCTTCATGGGCTCATTCTGACACCCAGATTGCAGTTGGCCTGCATGGGCTCATCACTGGTTCATACTCTTCTCTTGTCCACCAGGACCCCCCACATCATTTTGTGCCAAGCTGTTTTCCAGACAGTCTGTCTCCTAGCCTATCCTGGTGCATGGGGTTACTCCAGCTTTGCTGTCATTGACAAAGATCAGCCTGTTTTCAGCCTGCTGAGGTTCCACTGAATGGCCACCAGCCCTTCAGCATATTGACCACTGTCCCTGCTTAGATGCCACCTCAGTTTGACTAGAATTAATGGATATCTTGGACTCAGCAGACTGCAAAACACAGCTTTCTAGTAATGTTAAGGGTAGGGAGTGGAAAAATTCATTGGAAGCTGGCAGGCTTCCCTAAAACTTGTTATTTAGCTGGCTGTTAAAATATTGGCTCTTTTGTCATGCACTTAATTAATTTTTTTTAATACTGAACGCTTTCTATTTGTTTTATCTAGTTCTGAATTGWTTTTGGCCATGTTTCTGCTCCGTCTGTCTCCTCTGTTGTTCTCTGCGATTTTGCAGTGGCTTTTTCTCCTCGGCACTCTTCTTTTAAATAAAGAGCAGTCAGTAAAAAAAATAACATTTCACAAAAAACTATAATTGATCATTTTTTTGCTCTTTTCTTGTAAACAGGAGATCTGTGTGGTTCGCTTTACCCCAGTGACTGAAGAGGATCAGATCTCCTATGCCTTGTTGTTTGCCTATTTCAGCAGTAGAAAACGTTACGGTGTAGCGGCAAATAATATGAAGCAAGTGAAAGATTTGTACCTCATCCCTTTAGGTTCCTCAGATAAAGTCCCTCATCATCTTGTGCCTTTTGATGGGCCTGGTAAGTACAGCTTGGAATTTGTAACTTTATTATCATAACGCTACTTAAAGAAGTTGGCAACAGGAATATAAGAAGACATAAAACTAAAAAATGCTAGCTATTTTGTTCAAATATAAAATGTTTTCCATAGTATTATTATATTAGTTTCCTTGAAAATATATGAATTTCCCCTTGCTAGATTATTCTGATATTTTAAAGATGCAAAAATTACTGTGTACAACCTTGTTTTATGTCTGCTACCTTCTTTCTCTAATACAGGTGGCTTTTTAGRTTTCCATGTCAGTAAACTCAGTCACACAATTGGACTATGGTAGAAGTCATGAGTTCCAAATTGATACTCTCAATTTAAAATATTATTTTTCATTATTTGTAATGTACTAGTTTTTTTTTTCTCAAGTATTCCCAAGTTCCTTACAAAAAAATCACTGAGAGTTTAAAACATATATGGGCAAGGAAGAAAAGGTCCTGAAATGGCTCTCAGTTGTTCTGCTTACACATGAGTTATTTTGCATCAATTTATCTTGGTTATAAGAATTTGTGGATGATCTCTCTTTTTGAGATAGGCATGGCCAAAATGAAGAGAGAATGAGCTACAACTCATAGTTTTTTTTGGAATCACACAGAACAAAATAGATAGTGAGGAGATAGGTAATAGTATGCCTTGAAACACAGTGCCTTTCCTGGAGCGAGTGAAACATTTTTGAAATTTGCTCTTGGTAAATTTTTGAACAAGTATGTCTAACACAATTGGATGAGGAGATTTTGTGTTTTCAAATGTTCTGTTTGCTTTTTTTTATCCTATTATACTTTGCTACCACTGCTACCATGTTGCAGCTTTGTTAGACCAACATGATGTTCAACTTCTGTGATGTTTCTGATGAGATTAGATGTCCTTTATAATTATCTCATATTCTCTATTTGGAAGTTATAGTGTACTTTAAGCAATTTTAATTTGTAGTGCTTGAAGTAATGATTTTAATATTGGAAAGACATATTTTTATTATTTTAAGTACTGTTGATGTTTAATATAACAAGCAGAACAATTTCTCTAGTACATTGTTAAGTGTATGGGGTTTATTTTTGTTAAAATTATTGCCTTAACCAAAATATAAAGAGATGATAAGTTGCTGTTACAATTTTGTACAGGGATTGAAATACATCGACCAAATTTATTACTGGGATTGATAATTCGCCAGAAAATGAAGAGGCAGATTACAGCTGTTTCAAGTGTTACCAGTAGTTTTGCCGATGAAGCTGCTGAAAGTACTTTGAGTAGCTTGCCACCAGAGAAGAAAAGCAAGCCAAGCAAACCTGAAGTCTCTCATCATGATTTGGCGCTAGAAGAAGAGGAAGAAAATAATTTTTTTAATTCCTTCACAACTGTGCTACACAAGCAGAGAAATAAACCACAGCAGTCTAATACAGATGATGCTCCAGCAGTTATTGAACCATTGGTGGAAAGTACCAAACATGAACCACCAAAGCCTCTCAGGTTTCTTCCTGGAGTCCTGGTTGGATGGGAGAATCAGACTTCCACTCTGGAGCTAGCAAATAAACCACTCCCAGTGGATGATATTCTTCAAAGTCTCTTGGGTACGACAGGGCAGGTGTATGAACACAGCCAGTCAGAAACAGGTCCTAATGAAGACATACCATTATTAAATGAACAGGCAACCGTGAAAGAAGAAACCATGGATGTTGCTGATGTAACTGCTGAAGTTAGTGAAGCAAAGACTGGTTTGGATGATCCTCAAGAATCCACTAATGCTGCTGTAACTGCGGATGCAGCAGCTGTAGGGACCTCAAGTTCTGCAAAAAGTTCTGGTTCTTTGATAGGTCTGAGTCTTAAGGGAAAACCTCCAGATGTCTCCACAGAAGCATTTTTAGCAAATTTGTCTGCTCAGACACAGAATAAAGAAACTGAAGAAAGTAAAGAAAATGACCCAAAGCGACAGTTACCGGACAAGGATAGTGTTGCACAGGAAGTTAGAAGGAGCACAAATTCCAGCTTGTCTTCCTCATCGAATTCGGGGAAGAAACCCACTGAGAACAATGTTAATGTGGGCTCTGCTGAAGGTACCACTAATACCTCTAAATCACCACCATTTATTAACCTTAAAAGAGACCCACGACAGGCAGCTGGACGAAGCCAGCAGACTAATATTTCAGAAAACAAGGATGGAGATGTTAGCAGAAATGAAGACCGACAGAATGCTTCAGGAAATGATCAAGGAGAACCAGAGAATAAACAGCCTTCTGGAGAAGGGGGCTTAAATCTGTTTAAAAGTGATGCACAAACCAATGAGACGCAGATCAGTTCAGCTGCAGCTAAGGCAGATAATAACACAGTTGCATCACAGGCGGAAGATGCCAAACACTCACAGGAAGATGCACTGATGCAAAACATTGAAACAGTCAACTCATTTAGAAGAGGACCAGCAGTGACTTCATCTCATTTTGAAACTGAAAACTCTTCTCGTTCTGAATTTATTTCCAAAGTCCCAAGCCCTATTGCAAGTGGCAGCTTCTCGTCTGTTGGACCTCCGCAGCAGAATTTTCAGCATCCTAAATCTAATACACCTGGATTTCAGTTTCAGGCTCCTGCACCTCATAACTTCCCTCCACAAAACAACCCTATGTTTGGATTTCCTCCTCATTTACCACCTCCGCTTCTTCCTCCTCCTGGCTTTGGTTTTCCTCAAAATCCAATGATGCCATGGCCACCAGTAGCTCATTTATCAGGTCAGCCACCTCACTATGCTGGACCCATTGCACAAGGGCTACCAGTGGCTCACAAACAATCAAGATTTATGGGACCAGAAAATTTTTTTCAGAGTAAAGACAGTAGGAGACCAGAAAGACGCCATAGCGATCCTTGGGGCAGAGAAGAACAGCATTTGGAGCGAGGGTTCAGTAGAGGAAAAAATGATCGGCAGAGACTATATAGTGAAACCCATCACCAAAAAAAAGACAGACATGAAAAAGAGTGGAGCAATGAAAAATACTGGGAGCAAGATTCTGAAAGAAACAGGCGCAGAGACAGAAGCCAGGAGAAGGACAGAGAGCGGAAGAGTAGAGAGGAAGGACAGAGAGACAAAGAAAGAGCACGATCTCCGCACAGTGATAGGGCTGCTGATGGAAAAAGCCCCAGAGAGACTAGAAATCCAGAAAAAAAGACAGAGAAGCCTAAAAGTGAAGAACAGGCTCATGAAAAAGATAAGGAGAGGGAGAAAAGCAAAGACAAGCATAGAGAACGAGAAAGTGAAAAGAACAGAGAAAGACATAGGGACCACAGTGACAGAACTAAAAGCAAAAGGTAAAAAGATGCAGGCAGTCTTTTAAAATCCTATTTAAATAAACTGTTAGAATAATATCATAAAACTTTGTATGACAGAAAAAAAAAAAAGCCTGCTAGGATTGTGCCATCTTTTTTATTCTGTGTTGGTGTTTTGCAGAAACAAGTCTGTGTTTTGGTACTATACGATGTACCAATACTCATCCTTTTTTTCATTATACCAACTATCGCTAGAAGTAGGAGTTTAATATTTTTAAAAATTTTACATTGCTGTATATTCAGAATTTTAAAGATTTCTTTTATTAATATGCAATAAAGGCTTAGGAATTTTCTTAGCTGAGGAAGTTGGCTTTAGTCAAGTCTGCAATGTAGTTGCTGCCTTTGGTAATTTGTGCTCTCTTCTGTTTTGAGATGCTCTGATAATTTTGAAGGTGGTTTTCATACAATAACCTTGTTTTTAAATTGCACTGTTTTTAAAGACCGCAGCAAAGCCTCAGAATCCACACATTGCTACAAAATATAATATGCTCGGTGGTGTGAAGAGTTTGATTTTTAAAAAAAATTATTCAATAGTACAATAAAAAGTATGTTTCGTGTATTTCCTAAGCATCTGAAGCAGTTTGTGACCAGAAATTGGAAGGCTGAGCTGCTYGAATGTTACTGCTTTAAACTGCACTTGTTTTAATAAGAAAGCATTTCTACCCTAAATTGTTGAAAATTATTTGTAGTAGTAAATCCATTTCTCCCACCATTTACCATGCTTCAAAAATTTGAATACCTAAGCTTGTACATTACTTTGTGTTTTGCTATCCTTTTTACTGTAAAATGTAAATATTTTAAGGGATATTTTGATTCTAAAATGATAAAACTTTCTCACATATTGTGTGTGTTTGATTTCATAGGTGTGAAACTGTAGGCTAAATGAATATAGAAGGCTGAGTCACAGAATACCACATTTGTTGTACACTTCATGGCTCGGTTTGTTTTGAGTTTTGGAGAACAAAGAGGGGGGAGAATGGCAGAAACGTTTGTATCCTTGGGACTTCTGATAAATTGGTATTTTGTGGACTACCATCCACCAATGCCAAACAACATGCAAACATGAAAACAAATCACTATTCTTATACCTGTTAAAATACACTGGGCATTTTGTTGAGTCTGTTAGAAACAACAAAAATATTCCACTGTATAAAGAAAAACTGAGGTTTATTGTTCTGGTTTTCGAGCGTTTTGTTTTTCCACTTTGAGTACACAACTTAACTATGCTGCTGACAGAGAATTTTGCACTTTGCTGTAGAGAAGCCTCTTCTTTCTGAAAAGGTCTTCCCAGTTTAATAACACCCTAGTTGTTAGATTTAATTATAATTATAGTTTAAGGTAAATTTTTCTAGCAAGTAGCTTCATGGTCAAATTGGCTAAAATTAAAAATCTTGCACTGGATAAAGGAGGTGGTAGACTTTTTAAGTGATGTTTCTTAGGCTGATAGTTAAGAGGACTAAAAAAAATCCTGAGTTAGTAACTAAAGGCAATATTCAAACATCTTTATAGCATGATAAAACCTAGTCTTTTCCAAATGAATTCCGTGGTCTGTATAGCAGTAATGCCACTGAATATATCTGGTACTATTACACATGTCTTTTGTTGTTTAAATATTTACACCAGAGTTCTGTAGGCACAGAAGTACACCAAAGCATTGTTCTTATTTTTGGAGTAAGTTTTAAATTGACAGCTCTACATGTGAATATTCTCTTTTGATCTGTTCAAAATTCATCTCTTCCAAGCCCACTCATGATCTGCCTCTCACATGTGCATCCATCTCTGCTTTGAAAATAAACCAGAATCAGTGAAAATTGCACCTGCCTGTATAGAAGGGATGGGARTGCTTTCTGCCAGAACTAGCAGAAATAATTTGTTTGGAAAGAATATGTTAACATTTTTCAAGTTTGCTGAGTGCTTTGCTACCTGCCTTGTGTATGTAAAACCTGAAGAGAGACAAAGTAAAACAGCTCTTGAGGGAGAGTTTTGTTAAGCGTTTAAATTAACAAACAGCAACAATGTCCAGGATTTGTTCCTAGGATCTCAGTTAGTGTAACGGGAATAAATCCTGCTACTACAGGAATAAAGGATTTTACTTCTCCATTGCCTTCAGTCACTCTCCTTCCAACATTTGTGTTAGCTGGAAGTGTTGTTGTTCCTTGTTTTACACTGAATCATTGCTYAGATCACAAAAGGCAGCATGGACTGCAGAAGAACTGGCAGTACATCAGAAGTGCCAGCGAGAATGGGATAAACCTTAAATATACTCCCTTCTCCAGCAGCACATGGCCATAAAAGGCCCTACTTGGAGAAACTGGAAGAGGACAATCCAGGGTCAGCTCAAATGCCAGGTGGGCTTCATGAGCTGCCTTTTGGGAAGGTGCAGAAGCTCTATTGCATTGGGCTGATCACTTGAAGGCTCAGAGCAGCTGAAGATAGAATGAACCTCACAAATATGTTTGTGGATGTTTAATAAAACATCTTGGGGTAGCTCCTRTGCACTTTAGTTATCTCAAAGTCACCTGTGACTGATTTGGCAATGCTTTCATTTCTACACACTAAGTATGGTGATGTGGAAGCAAATGTGTGTCACCTAGTTTTAGGTGCTTATGGCCTTTGCTCCATTACACACACCCAATCATCACTTCATCTCCATCCCCAAATAGTTACTTGTTTCTGACARGTGCATGCTGAAGACTTGCATTCAGAGACTTTCCACGAAAGGAGGTGATGGTTTATTATGTGCTTTTGAGCAGTAATAAAGTGGAAAAGAAAAAGATAGGAATCAATYATTTTTATTTAATAATTTTATAGCAAGCCAGCAGTCAAATGAGAAATTTAGATGCCATCATACATCATTGGTATAATCACATTAAAATAGAACTTGATTTTTTTTTTATTGCCTCCTAAAGCAGATTATAACACATATTTTTTGGGAAGGAATTGAATTTTTGTATTTATGTATGAGAAGCTCTATGTACTTTTGAGATTATAAATTAATCAAAGATATATTTGCAGAAATCCAGTTTACTAGGACCAAAACCTCTCTCTCATAAAATTTTGAAGTGTCTCTTAGGGGCATATAAGCCAGAAAGGTATAGGTAAAGCAAAACAGTTCTTGGGCTTTCTAATCTTTAAGCTCTTAAGAAGAAAAGGTACTTTTAGGCAGAACTGCTACATTCCCAAATTTCAGTTGTAAATCGTTAAAGCCAAAAGTTTTCATGTATTAAATAGGGGAGACCTCTGCTGGAGAAAACCATGAGGCCTGTTTTCTCTCTAAAATTAAATGGTTTTTGCTCTTATCATTCTGTAAGTGTGATAATTTAGCAGACTTAACTCAGGCTTAAGTTCTGCCCTTTTACATACRTACATACAAGGTGGACAGAGACTCAAGTGAGGGAGAACAACTTAATTACCTAATTGGAGTCTTTGTGAGCTTTACAAGTAATTACAGCTGTTATGATTTAAAAAATTCTCATTACAATAAATGTGTTTTTTTTGCCGTAAGTGCACCTTCTGCCAATTTTAAGTTTTTACACTTGACCTTAATGTTAAAAAAGAAGCATTCTAATAAAATTTAAGAGTTGGAGAAACAGGTAACAGTTGTCTGTTCTCATAAAGCAACAAATAACACTTGAATGTTGGTTGGCTTTATAAGCTAATCACTATCTCTTTGTTTACGAAACTATTTCCAGCACAATAAAATATAAAAAAACCTTCAGACTTTCCCATTATTTTAAAGTAAATGCAAAAGAGTATCTATAAATAATTCTAGGAGTAAAACAATTGATCATAGTTTATATATGCTGTTAATACTCCACATAAATTTGTCCCTTACTACTTTTTAATTTAAGTGCTTTCTTATGTTGTTGGTTGCTGAGTCATACACAGCCAGCTAACACAAGAAACAGGAGGAAAAGGAATTTTATCACTTATTTAGAGTCTTGGACATTTTTTTCCAATTAATTTTCAGAATTTCCATCATAAACATTGTACCCTTCTGCTTTCATTAGCTGAATCTTTTTAGAATCTTGGAAGAGCACAACATCTTTAATTTTACCAATGAATTCCTTCTGAAAAAGCCCTGTAGTGACTATATTGACTTCCCTGCCAATTTCAAACCCACCAAAGTAACAAATGCCTCCATAGTTTAAAGCGGTGTATTTTCTTTGTGGGTCAATATCTTCAAAAAGAATTAGTTCCTCATCAAGATAAACCTTAATACAAGTTTGGTTTTGAACTACAGTAATGAAATGCCATCTTTCATCAGAACAGGTGAAGTATTTGCTATGCATTAGAGGAACAGAGATTCTTTCTCCAAGATTAATCACAACTTTTAAAGTTCCATTGGCAAGACCAATGGCAAGGAAGTCATTATCTTCATCTTCACTTTTTCCCATCCATGCTATTAAGCCTTCGGTTTGATTGGTAGTAAAATTTAAAGAAAGACGGCTGTACTGGAGGTCTCTTTTTCCATATAAAGGATCTGTGTATTTAATGTAGGAGTTACCAACAAACTTTGCTATATAAAATTTGATTTTTTTATCGCAGTACTTACCTGTCCAGCCTAGTGCGCACACACAGGTATATGAAAATGAAGAAGGCTGAGGAATACAGAGCGCTTGAGACCCGCACATGTTTTGTGAACAGTGAATAGATTGCTCACACGTGGTCCCTGTCCACTCTTTTGGGCAAGAACAAGAAAAGCCTGGGTTTTCAACTTGACATGYTCCATTATTTTTGCACACAGTGTAACCACAGTCTGTTCCATCACAATCACCAATGTTGGCTCCACCTTTGGGGTCAGTCACAGTAAGCTTCAGTTCCCTGTTGTTTATAACAATTTCTCGAATACAACCAGTGAAACCTGTGGGTTCATTTTCTATTGCCATTGGATGAACAAGGTTTAAGGAGGACACCCCTCCAACATAAAAATCTGTGTGTGTGTCTAGTGCATTCATTCCAGGACTAGCTTTTTGAGTCACATTGATACCATCCAGGTCCAGGTAGCCTTCGTTACCAGTTCTTCCTGCACTGAGTGAATGCCATGTATTTCCATTTGCATGGACCTTCTGAAGGGTCTGTAGAATGATTGTTCTGTCTCCAAGATTGTAGCGTAACTGCATAAATCCATTTACTAATGATATACATAGAAAGTCACCTGTAAAAAAAAMCAGTATGATATAGTTTTAATTTTTAGAGAGGGGGCACCGAAGAACAACATACCATAATTCTGATGCTTTCATGCCTGCATTCCTTGAAACAACATCATATCTAAATCACACAAAGGGAAATGCTTCCTGATGAACATTTATTATTTATTATTAATACCAATTATTATTGTTATTATTGCTATTATTGTTATTATTATTATTGGAAACTGAGCTCATGTTTGCCTCAAAGTTAAAAGCCCAACCTTTTGCAAAGCTCTGCTTTCATGCAGAGACTACATAACGTAGGTAGGAGGAAACAGGATAATTTTGGCATCCTGGAAATGAGAATTGGTGTTCCCAAGGAAAGGAGTAACGTTTTGGCCAAGTTACAAAAGCAGAAATACTCTCAATTTCAATATGCTGAATCAAGGCTTGATGGATTTGTCAGTTTAATGAACAGAAGGTTTGTATGCACCAGACATACTCTGCTTTCCCTGAAGCTTTTTCACAACAGGGATAATTTGGGTTTAATAATCTGACAGCTGTAGGAACAGATAGACTTTTTATTGCATTATTCTTCTGGAGGCCTTCATGACAGGAAGATTAGAAGGGAGTTATCTCTTCTTGTACTATCAGTGTTTCTGGCCTTACAGGCAATGTAAAAGGAGAGACGGCACTGCTTGGAACTCAAACATGAAGAAGAAAAGTTGGGAAAGGATAGGAAACGAGCTGGAAAGAAAGTTTGTAAGAGCACCAATAAAGTCTAATAGGGGAAGGTGACAGGGAAGCAGAAGAGGGCGGCAGAAAAGTCTGCAAATTAAAGTTATGTTATCAAACTTTTTGAGATTTGCCTGTACAATTAAACTTTTATGTATTATTTTGGAAATAATAGGCATTAGGTTGTTACCAATTAAATTGGTAAATATTGAAAATTGAATGCAACCTTTCCTAATCAGCTATAGTCCAGTTTCCTTAAAGATTCAACCTTCCTAAACGTRGACCTGTCATAGTAGAGTGATGAAGTTTGCTTTCATGCGTATTTAATTTTTGAGTATTTCTAATCACTGAATTACATTGCCTGTASTGAAATTAGGAATGAATGTTTTAATTTACTGGGGGCTTGTGAATGTTGCTAAAATTATACCTCCCTATTCAAGAATTGTTCAGGCTGCCATTCAGGCACAGTGGAGATGTTTCAGTTGTATTAATGACTGTAAAGCTTCATGCCTCACATTYCCTGCCCCAGACATCCATGGAAAGAACAAGAAAAAAGCACTTCCTTTTTTCAACTCTGGCAATGGCAGAGCACTTCCTTTTACCTTGCTAGTTCCAGTTCTGATGATCTGCTTTACTTCCCTGTATTTAATGTTCCTTTTGAGTACCTTGTTTCTGTTTTTTTTCAGAAAATTAATATTTCCTTCACTTGTTTCTCTTGCTTAGCGATGTGGCTTTAAGCTTGCTTGATTATTCAGTGCATAGCTTGAATGCACTCATCTTGCTTTGTTTCAGCAATGTATATAACCTTCTTGCCTATTTCTTTTAATAGGACCTCAATCTTAGGGTAAGAAAGGAGTGTGAGGAAAAGTTTCTGAACTACTTCTTTGGCAGCCTTTGATCCCCTCTCCTMTGCAGTCATGCAGACTTCTATAAGGACACTCATACTTTGCTATCTAGGAAGAAAAAAACATCTGACCAGGGTTGCTGTTGCATCTGCTGTAATGAAGACCTGGAGAAGCTGGCAGTTCTCCAAGACTTCCTGGCCTGCAGGGAAGGGTTTTGGTAGCTTTGCACRTTTGACAATGACCTGTCTGTTCTGGAATCTTATTTAGTCTTATTGCAAGAGCAAATCCGTGTTAGTGAATCTTCTATCTACAGTGTAAATAGCTTATTTCTGAGTACTGGCACAAATTTGAAGCCTCACTTCAAATGGGAGTAACTTCTGCTGCTTGTGAACAAAAAAATTACACTTTACAATTTCAACTGTCCCTGAGGCTCTCGAGGTATTATTCCTCTGATTAGATCCTCTCTTTTCACAGATGACTTGCCATTTTTGTTATTGGCAAGAACAATGGAGGTTTGAGATAAATTTTAGGCTCTGAAAGTTGATCCCAGCGTACAGTCAGTATTTCCCCATGAAGTTTATCMTATCATAGGTACTTCTAGGGACAACTGTCTGAAAACATCTTAGGACTCTTACATAAAGGTGCTGTGTATTCAGTGTCCAAGCAACTCTCTCTTAAACTGAAGGCAAATGATGAGTTTGTCTTTGATCCTTTTCACTTTAGCAACCAGTAACATTTTCAGCAAGGGATCACCATCTGCCCTGTGTCCAAGGGCCAGGTTGCACAGCTGGAGCCTGCGCAGGCCAATGCCATCATAGGGCATCATCACAGGAATTGCCTCACCAGTTTAAACAAATGGCATTCTTGCCACTGATTTTCTCCTCAGTAGTCTTTGGTATGGAAGRCCATGAAGCAGGGTTTTTTTTCACTATTTCAGTTTGATCATTGSTCAGACCTGTCTCATGCAACCTCAACTGTGGCCAGAAATCTTTTTGAGGAAGTTTGCTTTTGTTAAGCATGAAGGACATGATWTCCTTAGTTTTCCCTGCACTAGTCTGTATAGCTGGTCCCTACTTTCTTGAAAATATGACCCATGTACAGGACACACAACCTTGCTTCTGCCCTTTAGATTAGCATTCCATCTGATATGGGCTATTAATCCACATCAGTGGTGACACAAAAAAAATAGAGACTCCTCAGGTAGGCACTCCCAGTTGTTCTTTTGTTGTGCATGCATATCTTTGCCCAACCAATTGGATGCAAGGAACTGTAAGGCAATCTGTGTCAGTAAGATTGAATCTTTAGAAGTTGGTTGTTGCTTAGCTGTGCCTTGACACTGCAACATRTAAAACCCTGGGTGTTGAAGAAGATTGATAACAGCATTCAGTTCTGTTCTGATATACCTTTCTGCCCCTGTCATCTTTCCCGTTTCAGTAAAATAAAAAGGCTTTTTATAGCCAAATGTTAAAAGATTGTTTTCTTCTCAAGGGAATTTTGTAGCAGATAYTTTTAAGGAAGCACCTGGAGGTAAAGCAGCACTTCTACTTCCAAACCCTRGTTCAAGGTTTTCACCAGGTGACAGAAGGT